GGGAGAGGGAGATCCGAGAAGGGGCTTAAGGGTCTAGGTGATGTCGGCGCAGTGGTAAGGTGGGGAGTCCCTGGGTCAGAGAGCTTCAGAGAACAGGAGCAGCTTGGGGTGTTTTAGAGCTACAAGTTTATGTTATTTTCTGATCTATAGTGAGACGCTTATTCATTGCACCATTGGCCTACCAGAAATTTACCTTATCTATGGCGAGCGGATGTTAGGCAAGGTTTTGTGGAGTATTCAAAGCAGGCAGGCTATACATGGCTAAAATTATCTGCCTATCTGGGCTATGTTTAAGGCAAGTGGATGTGTAAAAGTTGGAATTTGGCGAGAGCAGGCTTTTGGGCCAATGATCTGGCTGCTGTGAAGAAATAACATACGGCCGATATACAGGGGCCATCATTTTTATAACAGGTGGACGTGTCACTCAAGATTGGCCAAATTAGAGTGAACCAGAGTAATCTGCTGGGATTGGACCTACAATGAGCAGCTGATCCAAGCTGGCTCCATAGAATTTTCTAGTTGGAGACTGCAGCTAAGAATTCTCTTCCCTCTGATTTTTTTTTTTTTTCTTAATCAACAAATTTATTGTCTTTCGAAGTTCCATAGGCTAGAAATCCAAAACCAAAGTGTCGGCAGGGGCATGCTCCTTCTGAAGGCTCTAGGGAAGGATATGTTCCAGGCTTCTGGTATTCCCTTGACTAGTGGAAGCATAACTCCATTCGTCATGTGGTGTCCTCCCTGTGTACATGTCTGTGTCCAGATTGCCCCCTTTCCTGAAGGATAACAGATGTGTGCAGCCAGATAGCCCTATCGGCCCGTTTCCTGCCTGTAGCATCCTAGAAATCTGACAGCCTTCCTTCATTTCGTCCCCTGTCTGTCCCCTTCAGTTCAAGCTGGCAGCATTTCTGCTGAGATGATTTATAGGATCCACATGTCACATGCCTAATCTCTTAGCAAACAGGTTGTCCAGCCACACCCTTGACGTTCTTTCCAGAACATTCTCTCTCATTTTTTGCAATCTGGATAGGCTGAGAATTTTCCAAATCTTCAAGTTCTGGTTTCCTTTTGGTGAACGATATTTTCTTTGATTTATGTCTGTCCTCCTTCGTTTTAAGTGCTTAAGGCTAGAAGTCCACGATCTGGGTGTCAGCAGGGCCATACTCCCTCTGAAGGTGCCAGGGAAGGATCTGTTCTGGGCCTTTCTCCTGGCTTCCGGTAGTTCCCTGGCTTGTGGCAGCAAAGCTCCAGTTGTCACAGGGTGTTCCTCCTGGGTGTGTCTTCTCTCGGGTTTTGAGGGCAAGACAGAGCTCATCAAGTCCTCTCTCAGGCCAACCCAAACTGATCCTCTCAACAGTTTAGTTACTACATCTCATTCCTCCTTTTGTTGTTAAAATTGTCTTTCATCACACGTGTGGGGGAGGGAGAACTATTCCTCTACCCTCTAGGTCCTTCTGGCTCATCTAAGAATTAAACTGATGTGAGACAGAATAACAGGAGAAAACCAAACAAAGTTTAATAACATGAATACGTGGCATAAACCCAGGAAAACTGAGTAACTTGCCAAAATGAGGGAACCACTACCTTAAATACCATTTTCAGCTAAGGACAAAGGAGGATGTTGGGGGTAGTGGTTTGGGACCTCAAAGGGGAAGAAGGCAATTTACATGGAGATGGAAAGGCAAATGTTTGGTAAACAAATGTTTGCTGGGCCATCTATAGACAATGAGACCCAAGGGAGAGAACTTTGATAAAAATGGGCTTAGCAAGGACCCTCCCAGTCTACCATACCCAGAGTTATCTGTGGTCATGGCCTGTCCTGGGACAGGCCTTCCTTTTTTAGGCAGTTAGGGGAAAGTCATAGTTTCGTTTTGAGTCTTTTGTTATTAAAAAATAATCAAGCCAGCGGCTAGAGTTTGAGTTTGAGCGCTCTGCTTTGGTGGCCTGGGTTTTGCAGGTTTGGATCCCTGGGGGCAGACCTACGCGGCTTGTCAAGCCATGCTGTGGCAGCGTCCCATATAAAGTAGAGGAGGATGGGCACAGATGTTAGCCCAGGGCCAATCTTCCTCAGCAAAAAAAAAAAAAAAAAGAGGAGGATTGGCAACAGATGTTAGCTCAGGGCTAATCTTCCTCAAAAAAAAAATAATCAAGCCAAAGAGACACATTTTGGCGTCGCAAATTCTGATCCCCAACAGAAGCAACCCAGGGTCCTGACTACTAGTGTGAAGAAGCTTCATATATCTAGGGGAGTGTGGGTGTTTGTTAGGCTGGGGCTTTGGGTTCAAATAGGGTGGCTGATGGGGTTGAGGCCTGAGAGGTGGGTAGGGAATAGGCCACACAGGACCTCAAACACCGTAGTCCTGAGGGTGCTTGAGGGCTGTAAGAGGATGAGAGCAGCATAATTCTGGGTGCAGAAAGATTCCTCTGAGGTCCGGTGGAGAACTTTCTAGAAAGGGCAAGACTGGAGACAGAGAGGTTCAGGGAAGAGATAACGTGGAGGCCCAAGGTTGGGGTCTCGAGGTGTTTCTCATCCCCCCAGGCTCCCGTGCCCCGGCCGCGGATGAGTGCTCAGGAGCAGTTGGAGAGGATACGCAGAAACCAGGAGTGTGGACGGCCGCTCCCTCGCCCGGCTTCCCCTCGGCTCCTCACCCTGAGGAGGACACTGTCCCCAGCCAGACGCCAGCCTGACACGGAACAAAGGGTGAGGGGAACTAGGGGTGCGAGGTGGGGCGATGGGGTGGTAGCGGGTCTTCTGCTCCTAGTTAGAGCCTCGGTTTCCCTCTCTGTAAAATGGGGATGTTCCCTACTTCCTTACCCAGAACTGGGTTTCCAGATTTGCCCCAACTTTTACTTGAGCTGAAATCAGCACTCTGGCTCCCCTAGCCGTGGGGAATGGAAGTGGGGTGTGGTAGGGGGTGGGGCAGAGACAACATCTCCACCTCATCAGCATTCTCCCTTCAGTGTGGAGGTCGTAGGTCTGGACTGGAAGCCCAGTGTTATCAAAGGCAAAAATAATTTTTTTTTGAGCAAGTAAGGAAATCGATTTTATTCATGCTATTGCAGTGGGGGAGAGCACCCCAGATCTTAAGATCAGAGTGTCTTGGTGGGATGGTTTCATCTTAGACTTTTCTAGGAAGGAATTAGACAAATCATAGGTGGGGTGATTCAAGATTGGGATTGTTTTTGTAATCGGGGGGCATCTCTGTCAGCTGAACACCAACCGTTTATCTCTGTGTCTACCTAGTTTTGGGGAGACAAACAGTTCAGCTAATCATTTGTGAGGTAGAGAATGTGAGTTTGGAGGGCCTGTTTCTGGCCTTGTCATAGGTAAACAAGGGGTGCGGGGTGTCATCTGAGTCTTATCTAAGACATATGGAGAAGAAGGGTTCTTGTAGTAAGCCGTTTTCCAGAACACACAAGCTTGCGTGTGTGTTGGGGGGTGGAGGGGTGGGGCGGGATCTTAACCTGTTTCCCAGGAGCGCATGTAGAGTTACACATTGTCAGTGTCTCTGGGGGCAATTTTATCCCCTCTCTGAGCCCCCTTCATTTCACCCTCAAAATGAGAACGTGGGGACTTCCAAGTGAGGAATTCTAATGCCCCAATTCCTTTGCAGCCTGTTCCAGGACACTCAGGAGCCCCGAAATGGCTCAGAAGCTCCGGGTCCTGGAGCAGGTAGGGAACAGGAGGGCGCGGCCAGGAGCAGGGAAATCCATTTGCCAAAGGGGAAGGGAATAGTAGCACTATTATTAATGTCTCCTGAGTACTGAAGTGCAGGTCGCAGAACCTGCTGGAGACGCTTGAGTTCCTGGGCCATCAGAAAGCCCTAGATCCGCAGCGAGAACTGCAGTTTCCAAAACTGCAAAACTGGGTAGATATCACACTCCGCTCCTCCGTCTGGAAAAGAGGTGAAGTCTAAGGGCAACTGGACTACAAATCCCATAATGCACGCGTGCTTTTTATGAGGGCCGCGCCATGTTTAAAGACCTTTAGAGACACGTGCTAGGGACTACAACTCCCAGAAGGACACGCGCAGCACGGCGGTCCTCTCTGTACTGGATAATTGTATACGTCCCCCAAATCTCTTTTTTTCTAGTCCAAGAAACACCACCCCTTATTTGCCAACATCCGAAGGTCACCGGGAGCGAGTCCTCAGCCTCTCTCAAGCCCTGGCTACTGAGGCATCGCAGTGGCACAGAATGATGATAGGTGAGGAGGGGCTGGGGACTTTGGGCTCCTGGGTTTTAGAGAAGAGGGAGCCGGAGGCCTGGAATCCTAGGTCCTGGTGGGGAGGGGTCTGAGGGCGGCCGGGAATCCTTTGTCTTGATGAGGAAAGAGCTAGACGGGGCTTGGAAATTCTAGATCCCAGGCGGGAGGAGATCGGGATCCAGGGCTACTGGGTCTGGAGGAGGGTACTGAGAGGTCGGGACTCCTGGGTCTGAAGGAGGAAAAGTCTGGGGGTCTGGACTCCCGAATCCCAAGTTTTGCCATTCTCATTCCCCAATCGTCCTCTACAGGGGGAAATTTGGACTCCCGAGGAGACCCTCTTCCCCCTGCGCCGCCGCCTCCGTCAGACCCCACGCCCCAGGTGTCCTCGCCCCCAAGATCTCCTCCACTGGCCAATTCCCGCTCCACCAGGTTCTCCCGCCGAGGTAGTGGGCGCGGCGCAGGCCCCGCCTCCTGGGAGTCCTCGTGGGATCCTGGGGCCGCCCCTCCCGCCCTGACGCAAGACGAGGGGGCGTGGCCTCTGCGAGTTACACTGCTGCAGTCCAGCTTCTGACACGCCCAAACGCGGCAGCCAATCGGAGCGTGAGGGCGTGGCCTGGAGGTACCGCCCGGAGATCTGGAGCCACTCAGGGCACCGGGGGGCGTGATCTAGTCCCCTCCGGTGGCCTGCCGGCGAGTGGTTTCGGTGGCCAAAGTTTGGTTTTCCCAACACTTGTCCAAATTCGGATTAAAACTTTGAACTTTTAGTCAATAGCTTTCTTTGTGTCTGTTGTGGGATCTCTGAGGGGCGGAGCTGGAGTCTGGACTCCTGGGTCCCGAGGGAGGAAGGGACAGGGACCTCAGACTTGCAGATGTGAGGAAGGAGGGACTGGAGACCTAGATTCCCGAGTCTGAGGGAGGAGGGGCTGGGGCCAAACTTCCAGGCTTCTGGTCTTTCTGGCAACGCCCCCCAGGGCCGGGCTTCCAGGATCCAGCCTCTATTTATGGTTCGGCCTCCCGGGACTTGGGAGGTGGAAAGAGGGGCAGAGTGAGTGACAGTGGGAGACACGGACTGAGGCAGAATGGCCGCGGGAACGCGCTATGCCGGGAAGGTGGTCGTTGTAACCGGGGGCGGGCGCGGCATCGGAGCCGGGATCGTGCGATCGTTCGGTGAGAGGGGTCTGGCTGCTCGAAATATTGGAGTCTGGGAGAGGAGGGACCCCGTGGGCTAATGGATGTGGGAAGAAGGGTCTTCAGTACCGGAGTCAAGATTCTTATCGTATAAAAGCCAATTGTAATGCCAGCGAAGGGATTGGCAGGGGTAGCCTAGGGCCTGAGGTCTTGGCGTGTCACCCAAACGCTGTTCCTTCCTTTCTGAGTTTCAGTTATAGCTACAAAAGCGGTGGTTGGGGGAATGGCTCTTGCAGGTTTAGAATTTGCTCTGGATCCCAGGGGTGGGGGCTCGGGAGCCGCAGCAGGCACCTGGAGCAGCCAAGAAGAATATGTGTCAAGGCCTCTGCCCTTTGATCTAGGGGATCATCACGAGACTTTGGGGTCAGAGGGAGCAGGGAGGGAGATAGTCCCCACTCCAGGTGGCCACAAGAGGGCAGCAGAGGCTTCGCCAAGGTCTGTGCTGGGGTAACCTGTTCTGTTCTCAGTGCAAAGCGGGGCCCAAGTGATTATCTGCGACAAAGATGGTGAGTGTTGGTCCCTCACCCCCAGCCCCTCCTCCCCCAGACCCGGGAGTCCGGGCCCCCAGCCCCCTCCTTCCGATCTGGGAGTCCGGACCCCCAGCCCTTCTCTCTCTCTGCAGAGTCTGGGGGCCGGGCCCTGGAGCGGGAGCTTCCTGGAACTGTCTTTCTCCTCTGTGACGTGACTCAGGAGGAAGACATAAGGGTGAGTATTTTTCGGTCCCTACTCCGGATCTCCAGCAGTTTCTCTCTCTCTCTCTCTCTCTCTCTCTCTCTCTCTCTCGTTTCTCTTCTAGGCTTTTGCACATGCTGTTCCCTCTACCTTTCCCTCTTCTGGCTAAATTGTACTGGGACCAGCTCAGTATTGTTTCAAGGCTCTCCTTGATTCTGCTGGCCAGGTCCTGTGTCTCCTGGGAAAGTTCTCCTTTATCTCCTACTTCTTCAAGACTCTTGCCACTCTGTCGTGAGCATTAGAACAAAAAAATCTGTCACAGCGGCTCTCCTGTAAGAGTTTTCCCTCGCCCATCTCAGGGTTTCTGTCCCTTCCCTTCAATCAGTGTCGATCTAGTATCTGCC